AGGAGCAGAAATGACCCGAGGGGGGCAGGGGGGATTGGAGTTTCTGTTGCAGTATAATTCTAAATGCGTTCAATGTATTTCTAAATGCAGGAAAGGTCCACAGCTGGGTGCCAAGGAGGAATAATCCCGTGTTCCCCATGCCAAGGAGGAGCAGCACAATTCCTTGAAGTTTCACCCCGGAAAATGCCACGGAAGCACTTTGGGGCAATCCTGTTTGAACATGCCGCGTCACTCCTGTAGAACAAAGTAGGCCAAAAGGAGGGCGTTGATGTGCACGCAGTGGGGGGATTGCAGGCCAGGAGGGTCCCCCACTGCTTTATGCAATGGAGGATGCCCCCCAAAATCCCCCTTGCACAGCTTGGTGGGGCGGGGTGCACAATCCCAGCCAGACTTTAGTCCTTGCTCCTGTAGCTGGGGCTCGTACGGGAAGCGCTGGGCTGAAATCTGCTCAGCCGTGGGGAGGGGAGCAGATGTCTACCTGCCACGGAGGGATCCAGGAAAGGCAGCCCCGTCCCAGGAGCCAGCCTGCAGGGCTGGCACGGTTTTCCTCCAGAGCCCGGGACCAGTCCTCCCCAAAGGGACCAGCCCGTTGATCCTCTCGCTGGTCTCCCATCCAGGGTGGCAGAAGCGAGTCAGGAAGGCTTCCCAACCTCCCTGGCGTGGTCACGTGGCCATGTGCCACCAGCGGAAGCCCAGGGAGGGTCTTCTGTGCTTCCCCTCTGGCGCACGCATGCCCAGCGGGTGGGAGTCCGCTTTAGAGGTCCTTGTCTGGCTCTGGAGCAGGGCTCTTCTTTCCGGGGGCCTGGCAGCCTGGCCTGGGTGGAAGAAACGGTCTGAGTACTGCCAGCCAGAATGTGGGGCGAGGCCTGCATGAGAAGGGCCCCCATGGGGAGAGCTGCAGAAGGAAGCTTATCTTGGGGCCTTAAGCAACAGCAGGCACTGAAGAGGCAGAAAGGTGGGATGATCCCAAGGCTGGAGAGCAAACAAAGTAGGGTGTAAAGGGTGCCCAGGGCCAGAGTTAGCTTCAACTCCCCCAACAGCTCGAAAAGGATCCCCAAGTAGCAAAGATCCCCCACACACACGTCAGAGCAAGCAGCAGCCAAATCGTACATGGCATTCCCTTGTCATGCAGGAGGGAGCCAGCGCCGCCAGGAAGACGGGAGAAGCGTCTCTTGCTCCGGAGCGATGATTCTTATCCAGGTACAAAGTTAATTCATTAATAATAAACTAAGCTTGTTTACTCAGAGGTGAGTTCTGCTGGTGCTGGCTGCGAAGCAGAGCCAAGATTGCACCAGGAGGCTCAAGTGCTTAAGCTGGTGAGCACCCTCTGTGATCAGCCTTGACTGAAAACAGTCAGTTAAAAAAAACAGGAGTGGGCCTCTTCCTCCAAAATGTGGAAGGGGGGCGCGGGGACAACTGCTGGCGAGATGCATGGTTGTGTCTGGAAGCGGTGGGGACAGGACACTCATTATCTTTTCGCAAAGCCCAGGCAGGGAAGTCAAAGTGACAAAGGAAGCAGCTATTAAGCCTTCAGAATACATTATCATGCTAATTCTTGCTAATTGGTCATGCCAAAATATACAGTAATTACAAAGGCCTCAAATTACCTTGTTCCACAACCCTTGTGAGATTCTCCACAATATTTAAATTAGCACTCATTTTGCCTAGAATTAATAAGATGGCCCTGGATCTTCTATCTTTCACAGGCGTCGCCCCCACCCACCCTGTTGAGCACCCAAGGGGACGCCCCCCACAGCTCACCCAGACCTAGCTGGAACTTGGTGGTCTCTCGTCCCCTGGACCTTCCGTCTCCCGGATGCCCCCAGGAAGGGCGAGGGGCAAAGGGCAGGCTGCCCAGGCTACGGTCACGTGGGGGAGAAGTTGGCAAAAGCAGTGGCCCAGAACAGAGTTTATCCTTTCCCCAAACCCTGCCTGCCAGCATCCAGGAGGCAGGGAGCGTTCCACGGGATGCACGAAGCAGAGGGCGGCTGGGGGCCTCCCTCTGCCTCCGCCCCACTCGTGTGCTCACCTCTGCCTGGGCGCCAAGAGCCCTTCCGGGCAGCCCGAACCAGCCCGACCAGGGAGCAGAAGGGTTGATTCGTCACTGTCACGCTTTCGGAAGGATCCGTCGGGAACCGAGGTGCTGGCTTGGGAAGGGGCCGCCAAGACCCCCACTGCTGTGTCCTGCCCACCTACCCCTCAAGTGGGGGTCCTTTCGAGGCAGGAAGCCCAGGAGACAAGAAGAGCCCCTCTGCTTTGAGGGCTTTAGTGCAGCCCATCTCCACATATGAAGGAGAAAGGAGTTAATCTTAAATCTTCTTAGCCCTGCGCAAAGTCTTGATGCAAGAGAAGCTCTGGATCAGAGATTTTCTTCCTGGGGAGTAGCTTGCGGGGGAGGGAAAAGAATAAACTGGCCTGTCTTTAGAATACTCAATAAATACCCGAAATGGGCAAGGCCCACGTCTCCTATTAAAGCAGGGGGGATTCACCCCCAGGTGACCGAGAGGGAAGGGATTAAAACTGTGACCGCTGGAGAGAATCTGCTCGTCTTTCGGGTCCTCCTTGGCAAGCAAAGAGGATTTTAAAAGCCAGATTGTGTGCAGGTGTCACGAGGGAGGTGAATTCCCCCTCCCTTCAGGAGAAGCAGCTGCTCCAGCCTGGCCTTCTGGAGGAAACCATGCCACAGGCACAGATCGCGGGCGTGCGCCCTGGATCGTTCCCTCGGTTTGTGACAGAAGGAGCGCCAGGATGAGCAAAGGCACCCTCAGGCACTCCCAGCCACGGACCGGGCCAGAAGGGGTGCCGTCTGCTCACTGCAGTCTGACGGCGTCAACAGTGGGCTTAGCGAACTCTCGGAAAGGAATTACACATGGAGATCCATTCAGATGGATCGGCCTCCTTCTTCACACTTTCCCCAGCCTCTGATTTGGGGCACCGGCAGGTTCCAACAGGTGGTTTTCGCATGCATAAATACATGTTTTCCTTGCGAGGGAAATTCCAGTTGAGCCGGCCTGGCGGGCGTTTAGGAAGGCACCAGCTTTGCCTTTGCCAGAGAGAGTCCGGAATCGGCTGGCTGCCCCGCAATCTGCTTAGCACCACGGAGCGGAGCGGGAAGGTCAGGGGCTGCTTGCCCAAAACCTCTTACGGCTGCTGCATCAAGCTGGAAA